CCAGCAAGTGATGACGTAGACCCCATCATCGTGACGTCAGAGCTGAGCGGCTCCATCACTGCCTTTGAACAAGGCGAGCCGTTGGTGGCGTATGCCGAGGTTCGTCAGGGCTTCAAACCCATGATCAACGCCAATGTCACGGCAACCATCGAAAGACCAGGCAGCTTTGAACCAATCAGACTTGAGCTACTCGATAATGGTGCAGGTATTTGTGATCTTTTCCTAAATTAAGTTTCTTCTCAGGGTCAAATTTGTGGAGATGCTATGAACACACTGTGTCCCAGTCCAACACATTCAGACGCTATATCAAGTTGATACTTATAAAACTTGGGGGAGTATGGCCTAGTGGTTAGGGTTTGTGACTCATGATCAGAAGGTCCGAGTCGAATCCAGCCGCTAGCAATTATGTTGCGTCCTTGGGCAAGCCACTTCATCCAAACTTGGCTCTCTCCACAGGAGTGGAAATATGTACCGGCATATACCTGGGGAGAACCTGCGATGTACTATATAGCATCCCATCCAGGGAAAGTAGAAATATGATCAGTCGTTTCATGCTACTGCAAACCGGAGATAAACACCTACCTGATGGACCAAGTTAGCTCGTGACAGACTTTACTTATGAAACTATGCTTTTTAATAATCGTCATCAAACATTGAGGGAATTGAACGGTACCAAATTCCTACCGGTAGGGCTCTACATGTAGTATAGATTCGTAGCTCTTGTGGTTGTGTTAGTAAATGAAATCTATGTGTATTTTCAACAGGTGCGGATATCACCAAGAATGACGGCGTGTACTCGAGATCCTTCACTGAATTTACCGGCATCGGGTACTACGGGATACGGATAGACGTGAACAACAACGGCGGAGAGCCATCATTTTGGAGTCCAATCCTTACTCAAAAGCCCGTCCGATTGTGCCCCTCGACAAGATCTATGACCTACCGGAGATTGGTAAGTGACAGCTCATTCGCTAAAGAGTTCATCTGGCTTGGACACTTCTTGATTTGTTTCACTCTTTCTTATTTCTCCTTCACAGGTGGTATTAGGATCCCTCTTCCCGGTGCCCCACCAGCGGAGCCGACAGGAACGCCTGCCCCGGCGTTCAGTCGTGGTACATCGGCGGCTCAAGCCGTGTAGACGCCGTACCTCCGGGCTTCGCTCCAGGTGCTGACCTGTTTCCCTCGGGAGACGTTCTTGATCTCAGAGTCAAGGAAACCTCATTCCAGGATAAGACTGTGGCGTTGGTTTGGACAGCTCCTGGAGATGATCTTGACAACGGAGCAGGTATATATATCCCATCTTTGTCTGAAATATTTGCTTTGTAATTCTTAAGGACCGAACATTTCAAACTACGGGGGTCGTTACGTGGACGAGATTGCGTACACCTGTGGCTAAGGTATCACTGCTCAAGATGGCCTGCTTCGCCGACACTACCACGATTTCGACGCTGATTAAAGAATGACAAGTTGGGAAGGGCTGTTAATTCTTTACCGTTTGCAAAAAGGTTCATTCTGGTCCTCATGGCTCTGATAACCTCACATTTCAGCGCTTGATCACCGGTCAGTGTTTACAGCGTTATTAGAAAAACATTAGGCGTTATCTCTTTCTATTTTGTTACGCGATGTACGGATGCACACAAGCCAAAAACCTTGTTCATCCTAGAATAGTTGAATTACCCAAACCCTGGTCAAATTATCGGACTTCGGAGAAATGCAAATGATAAAAACGTGTTCTTTCGCAGCCTCCCGTTACGAAGTGATCCGTGCCGAGTCCGTTCTGGCCTGGCAGAGCGACCCGACTCCGGAGTCGCATCTGATCCTCAACTCCAGTCACGTGCTCGAAGGGGATCCCTCGGCGCCTCAGGAGTTCGGCAGTCGGGAAGAGTTACTGGTCCTGGTACCCGTACCTAAGGGAGCCAGCGTGGTCTCGTACACGTTCGTCCTGCGCGCCTTCGACGACGCCGGGAACCCGTCTGGGTTTTCTAACGCGGCACAGGCCGTGCTCAGGGAGTACGTACCCCAGCCGCCAACCACCAAGCCACCGCCTGCTACCACGCCACCCCGGCAACCCGGCCACCGCAACCTGCTGGCACTACGCCACACCAACCCGAGGGGCTGAGCTGGCAGATTGCACTGATTGTCATCGGCAGCGTCGCCGCAGTGCTTGTGCTGATCGTTGTAGGGATAGCGGCGTTTAAGTTTTCGAAGTCCAAGGACAAAAATGTGAAGCAATCCTACGACGGGGAAGTGGGGAAGGGAGATGTTAGGGGAACATATAACCCGACGTTTGCATAGGCGGAGATTTAAGGCCAATAATGAAAAGGTTAGGCCTGAAGTTCAACATGCTTGTCAGAAAAGAAGTAAACATAATTTGGTAAAACTTCAAAAAAAATTGGTGAATTTGAAACAATTTCGGTAAAAAATTTATAACAATTTCGGTGAATTTGAATTTTTTTTGGGTGTATTTAAATTATATTAAATATTTGTGTATAATTTGGTGGAATAATAACTTTCCAACTGATCAAAGAACCGAAGTGCAGATGCAGTGGAATCTATTTTGAAACGCCTCACCGGCGTAAAAATATATATTTTTGCTCTCATATTTGGAGTCTTTTTTGGAAGGTGAATTGGTACTTGATATAGTAAGGTTTTTAACTTGTGTACATAGTCTGGATAAATATTTAGATGAAATGTTCATAACGGAGAAATATGCAAAGTCGCTTAGGTGAATTGCAGCTGACCGAAATCAATAAATTGTATTTAAAAATTGCATTTTAATAGTAAAGGCCAATTGAATTTGGTCAAGACGAATGTCAAAATTACTGGTGGCTTCTATAATCGGAGCTATCAATCGTTCGGAGTCACCCCCACATAACAGTCTTCACTCGTTGACTGTTATATACATGCTTATCATCATATGTAAAGAACGAAAAGAAAAATAATCTGATTGTTGTTTAACTAATACTTTCGAAACAGTTTTGTTGTTGTTTTAACTGTGAATCATTCCTAGTAGACTACTCACTTCATGCGAGAGGCACAATAGATCATGGCATTAATATACATTTTTTTAAACGACGCATCGGGTTTTTTTTAGATAATAATTGAAGCAATAAAAAGACAATAATTTAAGGAAGAGTACTTCAGTATGATACTTGTACACATCGATACAATTTTAATGTCTCTGATATGAACAGTGAAACAGATATTTAACTTTTGACAAGGTTTGTTAGTTTTCCTGACGAAGTCATGGATTCGTACTGGTTTTTCCGATTCAGCCTGTCATAAAGTAGTGACGTTCAGACCCTGTTTTTGGTATTCGCCAACAGGGGGCGCATTTCAACTATACATTCGAGAAAAAAAACGATTTAGGACAGTTGTGCAGGTTTTTTTTTGCCTGGTTGGAAGTGAAATAAAATAGCAATGTTGGAATTTTCAGTTTTATTGAGAGAAGAATTCAAACAAGCACGGCTTAATCCAAGTTTGCAACCCAGTTTTCAATTCTAACATATATACACACCATGACTAGCCAATGTCCATGCTTGCCAACACACATGCATTCCTACAAGTATCAAACTGTATTATTTTTGTTGTTTGAACTTTGGATGGCGCGTGTCAGATAGCGCGTATATCTCATAGTTTAATCGCGGAGCCTGATGAAACGTCACCACACAAACACCGCCGTGCCATGTTT